TCACCTCCGATTCGCACGGTTGGCCACGCACGCTGCGAAAGAAGTTCAACATACATCCAAGATGATAATTTTTTCAGCGACAGGCATGCATCCTCGCCTCCTGTGTCGGCCGAAGAGCACGGCGCGGCCCCGTCGCGTGAGAGGCGTGGGGGCAGCAGCAGCGGCAGCAGCAGCAGCAGCGGTAGCAACGGCAGCAGCAGCAGCAGCAGCGGTAGCAGCGGCAGCAATGGCAGCAGCGTCAGCAGTAGCAGCAGCGTCAGCGTCGTCAGCGTCGTCCCAAACAAGAACATGTCGCTGAAATGCCGATGGAGGAACAGCCCTGGGTCGTCTTTGCTGCCCCAACTAACCGTCGCATCCCCAACAACAACGACAATGATGACAACACGTGGAGGAGGAGGACTTCAGGATATTTCCTCCATAAATCGAAGGATCAGGGACCTCATGCTGTGGTGAGGTGTGACCCATCAGGCTTGACTGCCCGATGCGTGTTTTTTGTATCGTTTGTTGTTGTTACGTTGTGACCCGCCCCGACTGGACATCTGTGAAAAATAGCTTTATAGCTCATAGGATTCCTCCAGGATAAATATTCAGATTTTGATGCAATACACATCATCTGGTGGAACCAGCGGACTTCTCCACTCCGCTACCACCCCGGATGATGTCGTGGAATGGCTCAAAACATTAGACACGCGACCATAGCCTGCAGCAGCAGCTGCTGCTGCTGTTTTTTTCCAAACGCCACAAGCAAGGAGAAGAAGAATAAGAAAAGCCGTACGCACGGGACAACAAAGAGAGTCCCCGAGCACTGACTCGACCTGACACCGGGAGAATACGCGTGATCGTTTCCACTATCTACCCGCGTGCGACTCGCCGCGTAATTTTCCACCACTGCCAACCCCAGCTCGCGGAGTGCGGCGGGGGTTGGACAGACAGCTCACGCTGGGGGGGGGGGGGGGGGCTCTTCCAGCTTCAATCAAACGTCCGGGCCGTCTGAAGCCGGCTCCGCTAACCCGCGCGTCGACGCTAATGAAGTTGCGAGCGAGGGGTCACATTCATCCTGACGACGCGAGAGAGCCCTCGACGGCTTTTATCTCTCGCTCGCCCCGCGTCTCTCGCCCGGCCTCGACGCCTTTCATGTGTGACCCCCCACTCCCACGCGCCACTCCACCACCCACCCACCCAACGATGCCCGCAGGGGAAGACGCGTGGCGGCTCGCTGGCTTTGCCCACTGCACGCGGGGCGACCTGCCGATTTGCGGTTTAAGGAGGGAGGTCGGGCTGCAGAGGGAGGAGGGAAATTGAAACTTCTGTGGTGGTGTTGGTGGTGGTGTTGGTGGTGGTGTTGGTGGTGGTGTTGGTGGTGGTGTTGGTTTTGTTGATGTTGTCGTTATACTGGTAGGAACCCACTGGTTCCACCAGCCCACAGGGGATTATTGTGTCCGTCTGTCGTGCATCCAAAAATGGGAGGCGTGGGGCTGGGTGGAGAGGGGAGGGTGGGGAGGGAGGGGGAGGGTAGGAAGGGACTGGGTGGGGAGGGTAGGAAGGGGCTGGGTGGGGAGGGGAGAGTGGGGAGGGGCTGGGTGGGGAGGGGCTGGGTGGGGAGGGTGGGGTTGGGTGGGGAGGAGAGGGTGGGGAGGGGCTGGGTGGGGAGGGGCTGGGTGGGGAGGGTGGGGCTGGATGGAGGGTGGAAGGGGTGGGGCTGGGTGGGGAGGGACTGGTCACCCCGTGGTGCCCTTATAAAACTCAACGTTTAACCTACTCACTCCGGCTTGTGCCCGCCTTCACAGTCAGGCATATTTGCGTAATACACCACGCCGCCGTTGACCCTGGCCATTGACCGATCAACCTAACGTTCCTACCAGCTCCCTCCGCAGGAATGTGTTTCTGCTCGTTTACCAAGCAAAGCCACGCCGGGGCCTCAAGACTCTGTTTTGAAAGGAGGGTACTGCCAGGTTTTCGCAGGAGGGGAGCGAGCAATGTTCTAATCATATAATAATCTTGATTATAATTATTTCAACTTGTTAACGCGCCACCATCACGGCCGGGTATTCGCTCACTCTGGAAGAGAGGGAACGACTCGGAGGCGCGGGGAACCAAAGGCGAGCGGGGAGGCAGCAGCGGTGGCCAGGCAGCGTGCCGACGCCAACGATCGCCGGAATCCTACGGTCCTCCACACGCGTTGTCGGCCACGTAATAACAACCGAGTCACTTGCAGGTGATTTTTCAGCACGCGGATGTTTGGCCAGGACCTGTTGCATCTCCGCGTGATCTCTCGGTGTTCAGAGGCAGCCACTGGCTAACCGCCGCACAGCAGAGACGGATTAGGGCTTTGTTCCAAGATTTCGGCAAAAAGGTGCACGTGACCTGAATTACAACGCGGAGCCTTGCCACGGCCTCATCCACGCAGCCAGCATCGCCGGGTTCTGTCCTCCGGGCTTCACGGCAAGCCGGCCGGCTACAGAGCCAATCGTGACATCAGGATTGCTGCTTTCAACCATTTAACACCCCTTTGGGCCGCTTCTCAAATACAATTTTGTTTTTTAAAGTCCCAAGTTATTTCTGGCTCAAATGAGCATTGAGGCGCTGCTCATCTCTCCTTCACAGCCGCCGAGCCAGTGGTGGACACTCCACATTCACATGGCGGTGGGAGAGCCTCTCCGTGGGCCAACTGCTGTTGACTCGCCCACAAAGCGGTACTCAATGTTACTGGCCACACAGGGGGATGATAAGCTGAGTCAGTCTCTGCAACATTCGGACTGCGAGCTGCTGCTGGGCTACGTGGATTTGTGGTGCTAGTGGCCAAAACCACGAGTCGAGTGGTCGGCAGCCAACACCGCCGGAGCATTGGTTTTGGCCACCAAGCCGGCGCTGTGCGGCAGACACCGAGCGACTCTTACAAAAGGCGTCCCTTTCTTCTCTGGCAATCTTGAATGACACGTACACGCACGCTCGTTGGCACGCACACACAAACGCACGCTCGCTCGCACCGCAAACAAGCACCTACCAGTTTCTCGCTCACGCCGCAAATACGCGCAACGCGGCACCACAAAACACATCACGAGCACCGCACGGCTCACGACGCCTCGCACAATCTGCCAGGTGGTGGCACTCAAATTAACATTCGCCCCGAAGAACCAAGAGCATCAAAAGCCCAGGGACACAGCTGCTGGACACTGATGAAGGCAGCGAACACGGAAAAAGGTTTTAATATTTCCCATCTAATCCGGGCTCACTTCATTAGCATTTCGGGTAAAGCAAGTCGTCGGGGAAAGAGAATGGGTTCTGGGGAAGAAGCGTTACCCCGACATGATTGTGACGATTTCATCAAAATCGCACGGCTGAAACCGTGCCCGCCTAAGCATTATGGGGAAGGTTACATTTCTTCACGCGATTTGGATTGCGGGTGGATCGCGGTTCGATTTAGGTTGGATTACGAGTGGATGGCAGTTGGATGGCAGTTGGATGGCAGTTGGATGGCAGTTGGATGGCAGTTGGATGGCAGTTGGATTGTGGGTGGTTTGCGGTTGGATTTTGCAAGTGGATTGAAAAATTGCACTGCGGGTGAATTGCAGGTGGATTGCGGTTGGATTTCTCTTAATTTTCGTTTGGACTGCAGGTGGATTGCAGTTGAAGTGCGGTTGGATTTCGGGTAGATTGCAGTTTGTGCAGCGTGACTGTCCACTCCATTGACCACCACCAACACCGCCACCAGCTCTTGCCTTCTTGAAACGCACAGCGATGGCAGGGGGCATCTCAGAATGACGATGACGATGATAATGATTGCTGCGCGAGATGGCAGATGCACACACGAGATTAAGAGTCTGAATTGCCTTGGGAAAAGCGGGAGTCTGCAATAAAACAAAATAATTCGCTAAACTATCCCATCTCTTAGCCACTAACACAGCTGAATGATATGCAGGCGAGGTTCACTGCCAATTGGAGGTCGTTTTATTGTTGTGCGCGTGTGTGTGCGCGTGTGTGCGTGTGTGTGCCTAGTGCAGCAGTTAGCGCACAGCGCTACGAACCCGGTGACCCAAGTTTGAATCCCGCTCACAGCCAACACCCGTGACGGTTATCTGAACTGGTCCTGGGGCTCCCCTAGGTCAACTCAGCCTCAAATGAGTACCTGGTACGATGTGTAAACATCGCCACTAGGGAGACAAAGGCGGCCGGGCGTGGTATTGGCCACCCACCCCTTTGTGTGCTGTGCCGGCCTTTATAGGTGCTCGCTGACACGACTTGCCCCTACAGTCTGTTAAGGCTATATGGGGGATCTTTGTCTTTCTCTTTTGCCTGTGCAGGGAGCGGTGGTGCAGCGGTTAGCACGCTGCGCTACGAATCCGGCGACCTGGGTTCCATTCCCGCTCACAGTCAACACCAGTGACAATTATCTGAACCGGTTCTGGGCTTCCCTTAGGTCGACTCAGTCTCAAATGAGTATCGCGCGTGGTGCTGGCCACCCACCCCCTTAAAGTTCCGTGTCGGCCTTCATAGGTGCTCGTTAACAGCACTTGCCCAAACAGTCTGTTAAAGGCTAAACGGGAGGGCCATTATCTTTTTGTCCGTGTGGTGGGTTGCATGCACGTACATTTCCTTATTTAGGATTATCTACTCAGGAAAGCCTTGCCGAGTCTCAAGTCTCTTTTCCAGGAGGGTCATTCCAGGTTTACACAGCAGTGGAACAGTGTTGTTGCTCTTCTTGGTTCTTTCGGTAAAGTCACGTAAAAGGGAAATAATACAATAATAAAAATAAAACATAATAAAATACAATTCTCACGACGTTTCGGCCACAACACAAGCAGCCATCCTCAGGTGAAGAACAGGTCTGTCGGAAAGACAGACGTCGGAAAGACAGACCTTTTATAAAGACAGAGATCATGGGGAGAGTTTGTGGGGAGAGTTCGCGGGGAGAGTTCGCGGGGAGAGTTCGCGGGGAGAGTTCGCGGGGAGAGTTCGCGAGGAGGTACGTGGGGAGAGACGCGGGAAGCGAGCGAGCTCACCCTGCAGGGAGTTGTGGGACAGGTCGATGGTGCGTAGGCTCGGCGTGGCGGTGAGGCTCTCCGGGAAGGTCACAAAGCAGTTCCTGGAGACATCGATGAAGTGCAGTTCGGTCAGGGAGGCCACCGCATCCGGCAGCGACTTGAGTCGGTTGCCCTGCAGGTGCAGCTCTGACAAAATGGGAAAATAAAACAAAGCATCATCAGCATCGCCTTCGACACCGCCGACTTAAAAAGTATAATCACGCACTCGAAGTGCTCTCGTTCCCCACACTTTACCCCAGAACATACGACCTACCGATCGGTTTAACTGCGGGGCACCCATTCATGGCGGGGGGATTTAGGAAAGTTGCCGCGTTGCTTCAACTTCCGTGCCAAGAGATGGAGTCGAACCGGCGACCAGTGCGCTACGCAACTCTGCTCACAACCATCGTCACCCCCGCCCGCCGCCCTAGCCCCCATCGCCCGTAACAAACTGGGAAATGCACGGCTCCACAATTCATCACGGACCATGCACTTTGACTCTTAAACAAACAACCTGAACACCAGCAGATTTTCATTACTCCTATCGAATTGGCCAGAGGTTTTATTTTTTATATATATCTTTATTCCGAGAACAGGAAGCGGCAACGCATAGGAATCGCAGCACCGTCGCCGGGGGAGAGGAAGAGGAAAGGGCACGCACGCGTGGGCGCGTTGTCGGGAGGGGGGAAGGATGCGGGGCGGTCGTGCTGCGCCCTTTGCGCGCTCTTTGGGTTATAACGCACGAGACGCCGGGGATGCCACGACCCCAAGCGAGTCTTACTCTCGCGAAACGCGGGTCAAACTGCCGCGCGGACAAAACGATTGCCGTATTCTCCCCGGGTTGCGGGTTGCGGCGGGCGCCTATTCCCCCGTCACGTGGTCTGGCACGAGCGAGCGTGCGCGTGTGATACCAGATTTGTGGGGAGCGGCGGCGCCGTGGTTAGCGGCGCTGCGCTACGAACCCGGCGACCCGAATTCGATTCTCGCTCACGGCCAACACCAGTGACGATTATATGTATCGGTCCTGGGCCTCCCCTAGGTCGACTCAGCCTTAAATGAGTCCCTTGTGCAATATGTAAACATTGCCACTGGGCGGACGTGGTGTTAGCCACCCAGCCCCTCGTGTGCCATGCTGACCAACATTGGTGCTCGCTAACAGAACTTCCCCCAAAAGTCTCTTCAGGATATAAGAGGGATCTTTAGTCTTTGCTCTTGTGTTCCCAAATTGGCGTAACTTCATTGGCACTGAGCACAAGATCGAGGTACGCCTTACTTTACGAAGTGAAGTATAATCCGCAAAACGGGCGAGGTGCACCACCTTTCTGGGTGGGGTTTGTACATTATCTCTCTCTCCGAGTTCCGCATGAGTTTTCCTCTGGGTTCTCCCGTTTCTTCCCATAGCCACCAAAAAAATAAGACGTACAATGTCACTGGAATTGGCAAAAAAAATATCCAAAGAGCTGAAAACATGACCTGAAAATTACTCAATTGGGATCATACATAGCAGCGGCATCGTCCCCGCTCCCCCCCCCCCCCAAATTACAAACATTTAGCAGGACCCTCCTGAAAGAGTCTTGAGGCTCTCCTTGTACCATGCAGGTGGGAGAAGGTGCTGAGGAAGTTGCTGGGCAGCGACTTGAGGATGTTGTCGGCCAGAGATGCGACCCGGACGTCGTCCGCGACTTCCGCCAGCATCACGTTCACCGCCACGGGCACGTTCGTCATCTCACACGCAGACAGGTCTACAAAGACAAAGATCCGCCGTATAGCCTTAACAGGCTGTTGGGGCAAGAGCTGTTAGCGAGTAGCACCTACGAAGGCCGGCACGGCACACGAGGGGGTGGGTGGCCAGCACCAACCCCAGCCGCCTTTGTCTCTCTGGTGGAGATGTTTATACACCGCATTAGGTACTCATTTGAGGCTGAGTCGACCTAGGGGAGGCACAGGACCAGTTCAGATAATCGTAACTGTCGGTGGCTGTGATCAGGAATCGAACGTGGGTTGCCGGCTTCGTAGCGCAGCGCGCTAACTGCTACGCTGAACACGCAGACACAAAGGGGCCGTCCATAAATGACGTCACGCGATTTTGGACTATTTTTTACCCTCCCACCTCGTCACACGGCGTCACAAAAAGTCAGACCCCCCTCAAATATGACGTCATAAAGCTCTGCCCCCCACCCCCACAAAAATATTTCCATTTTTAAAATAAAACATGCTTCAAATCGCTTTAAACTATTGTGATTGTAGTGCGTATTTAATGTGGCGCTGCACTCTGATGTTGTAAGAAAAAACATTTATTAAAAAGTCTATTTAATTAAGTAGAACGTGTTGTCTATATTTATTTAAAGTTGCGCATTTTGATGTGACGTCAAATTTCTCAAACACCCCCCCCCCCTCGTCACACGTCACAAATGTCTGACCCCCCCCCCCCCAGGTGCGTGACGTCATTTATGGACGGCCCCAAAGACACGCTCACCGACTCACACACAGGCAGGTCTACACGGAAACACACAGACACACTGACCCACTGGCATGCTCAGTAATTGAGCATTGAGGGGGTGCTCATCTCCTGTTAATATCCCAGATCTAGTTGTGGACATTCCACGTTCCTACGACGGGGGCGAGTTACCCCATAGGACAACCACTGCAGACTTCGCCACAGTACGGTGTAAAAACAATCGACAAGACAGTGCTGACGAAATAGGCAGTACACACAGCACAAAGGAAACAATACCATTTTTTTTATAATATTGAATCTTTAAGTGAATTGTGTTTAGATGGATGTCACACGGCAGGTGCCGCGTGAATTTGAGCTGCAAATCCTGAGGCTCTGCTGCCCTCTGGCAGTCGAGTTTTGCCACTACATCAATTCAAGGACCCATATCTAACAGAGGGTCGGGGTTTGCAAATATTTGGCAGTTCATCAGCATTGGTTGAAACCAGCCTGACTCTTGCTGATGAGACACTGAATGTCGAAACCGGTCCAGAGTTTTGCTTGTATTAAATAAATTCTCGTGTAAAAGCTATTCCATGTGTAACTGACAGCCGTGTTCGTTATAAATATTTACGATAGCAAGATTGCAATTTGTAGAAAGGCTTTTGTGCAGGTTTATTTTGAGCAAACTGTTGGCAAGAACTTTTTCAAGTAATCTTTGCGAACATTTATTCTCACGCTCAGGCATCGAATGTTTTATGGTTGATGCAAATTACGTGCAAATTGCACGTGCAGATCGTTAAGTTTGTACTGCGCTAAGAAAGCGGCAACCCAAATCACTGGGTTCCATCTCTTCCTTCCCATAAACACATTCCTGCGGAGGGAGTTGGTAGGAACGTTGAGTTGCTCGGTCAATGGCCAGGGTTAACGGCGGCGTGGTGTATTCCGCAAATATGCCCGACTGTGAGGACGGAAACAAGCCGGTGTGAGTAGATTAAATGTTGAGTTTTATAAGGGCACCACGGGGTGACCAGCCCCTCTCCACCCAGCCCCACCCCTCCCATTTTTGGATGCATGACGGACGGACACAATAATCCCCTGTGGGCTGGTGTAACCAGGAGGTTCCTACCAGTATAACTGGGTTCCATCACTTCCTTCCCACAGTAATGTTCTCACCAAATATGAATGTCACATTTTCTTCTGCGGAAAAGTCTAGGGTAATGATCCAATTGACAACCGAACAGTGGTAACCATTGACCCTGTGCGACCCTGTGACCCAGTCACCATCTGACCCTGCATGACCCAGTGACCCTGGGTGACTCCGAGTGACTGAGAGTTACCGTTGAGGCCAAGTGACCCCGCGTGACCCCGCGTGACCCAGAGTGACCACTGACCGATGGAGTCTGTGTGCTCCTCCAGGGTTTCCCTCAGCCTCTGCACCACACGCACCACTCCTGCAGCCATCGTGCCCCGGCAGAGATGCGGCGACCTGGGGGCGGGAGTCCAGAACGTTCTCTACGATTAGTCAATCTAAGATTAGTCAAGTCGGGTGCCACGGTGGCGAGATGTTAACTACCTCGCCTCGTACACGGGAGGTCGAGGGGTTGATCCCGACCCTGACGCCTGCTTCTGTATATTTGGAGTTCGCGGTGTCTCTCTCCCCGTGGTCGCGTGGATTTTTCTACGGGGCCTCAGATTGTTCCCTTCACATTTAGAATAAACGTGCGTTCGGAGTATTTGGCTGATTTAAATATCCACGTGATAAGCCACTTCGTTGAGCTATAATTTGTGGTCAAGTGGCTTAAAAAATAGCTATATAGCTCAGTGGGCCTTATTTGGTAAAAAAAATATATATAGTTCATGTTTTAGTTCAATTCAAATCAAGATTAAGCCAATTAATCAACGAAAAAAATGTAAGCAATCACTTTCTTGTGGTCAATTACTCACTCAGATCCCTTTAAAAATGGTGGCCGCCCTGACATTCTGCCTCCCGAATGCTGGAAACCCCCTGAAAACCACGGCGAGTGTGACGCGCCTTAAGATGTTGAAGATGTCACCAAGCCACGCCCATCACCACCCGTTCAGTGGCACACGTGGGAACTGAAGTGAGATTTTGTTTTACCTTCCCCCACCCCTCAACTACATTCATGTTATACTTTTAGTTGAGTAACTGAGCCGATCATCGGTAAAGTTGTCGATTACTATCAGGTGATGGGTGCCACGGGTTGTCAGACCACATATTGGACGGTGGGTGTCAAGGGCTCTTCACACCGCATGTCCCATCCTCACGTTCTTTACCAATGGATTTTAACAGAATGGATTAAAAATGGCAAAATACGACTTCACAAATACGAATAACATGAGCCGATTGGTTTAAGTTTTTTTTGAAAGAAAAAAATACTTTAACACGGTTATTTTTTAAGTTTCACGTGTTTATATTTAGAATTATAAGGCGGTGGTCGTTTAAGTGGGGCACTGCCCCGACCTTATTAAATTATCTTTCCATGGATTGTTATTTTTAAATCCTTTATATTAAGTTCGCTTGCTTGCTTACGACCGTGCCAATCTTTCGGTCGTTTTTTAACCCACTTCCCGTGATCCAATCGAGCTGACATTTCCCACACAGACTCGTTGTGCGTGACAATTAATGTTCGTGAAATTTTTTTAAAGAAATGTTACACTTTTTAGGACAAAAATATTATATTTAATTACCAATTGCTTAATGGTGCAATGCAATCATCTGACCCATAGGTGGCAGCCATCTCAAGCCAGAGGACGAGAGGACTCTAGCCGCCACGCATATAAAGGATTTATAGTGAAAAACTTTGTTTTTACGGGTTATACTTATTTCCACCCCGCACGTGGCCCATGCACTCGACTGTCAAATGAACGCGACGTTTCGACGATGGCTGACCGGCGAGTGAATGAGCAGCAACTCACTGGGAGGCGCTGCAGATGATACGTCCATAACAAAGACAAAGATCCCCCGTATAGCCTTCAACATACTGTTGGGGCAAGTGCTGTTCGCGAGGAGCACCTATGAAGGTCGGAACGGCGCACGAGGTCGGGGTGGGTGGTCAGCATCAAGTAGGGCCGCCTTTGTCTCCCCCTGCCGGCGATGCTTACACATCGCACCCAGGTACTAATTTGAGGCCGAGTCGACCTAGGAGAGGCCCAGGACCCGTTCAGCTAATCGGTGTTGGCTGTGATCGGGAATCGAACTCGGGACGCCGGGTTCGTAGCGCGGTGCGCTCACCACCACCCCCACCGCTCCCCACTACAACACTACCACCATCATCCACACCTTAACGAAAGGGCGCTACACACGACGCCACCATAAGACGAGACACACCATGCATGAAGTAGAAGAAGGCCCGTACACAATACGATGACCACCACCACCACCACAAGTCACGCCACACAGAAGAAGCGACTTTCGACGCAACACCATTAAGGCCACCGGCCACGAGAGGAGAGACACCCTGTAACGAAACCCCAGCAGCCAGTGACAGGCCAACCGGTCACGGCACCCCACACAAAGCACCCACCGAGGCAGCCGGCGAACTCGTGCAGAGGAGATGAGAGGGGAGGGGTAGGAAACTCGTCTTGTGCTCCGACGGACGCGGCTGGGACTCACAGTGATGGTGAACCGTGGAGGAGGAGGAGGGTGGTGAGGAGGGTGGTGAGGATGAGGAAGAGGATGAGGGAGGAGGCTGAGTTACCCGGCTCGGCCAGTAGAGCGCTCTTGCATCGTGAAGACAGAATTAGACCGGGAGAAGGGGGTCATCGCATTTCTCTCCGGGCTAATTTTAAAGTCTTAAGCAATGCGGTGGTGGGGTGGTGTAGTTTCCAAGTGTGGTAATTATTTTCGGGTAGGGGCCGTCCATAAATGACGTCACGCACCTAGGGAGGGGGGGAGGGGGGTCAGACAATTGTGACGATGTGTGACGAGGGGGGTTTGAGAAATGTGACGTCACATCAAAATGCACAACTTTAAATGAATATAGGCAACACGTTCTGCTTAATTAAATAGACTTTTTAATAAATGTGTTCTCCTACAACATCAGAGTGCAGCGGCACATTAAATACGCACTCTACAATTACAATAGTTTCAAGCGATTTGAAGCATGTTTTATTTGGGGGGGGGGGGGGCAGAGCTTTGTGACGTCATATTTGAGGGGGGGGGGGGTCTGATTTTTTGTGACGCCGTGTGACGAAGGGGGTGGGGGGGTCAAAAATCGTCCAAAACCGCGTGACGTCATTTATGGACGGCCCCTTTGTGAGCATCGTGAGGCTGCTGTCGGCATCCACTGCCGTGATTTGTGCAGCGGATGGGGTCGAGGGTGGGGGCCGTGAGGCAGAGGTGGGACAAAGTCATTGTTATGCAAGTCCAAGTCGAGTCTGAAGTCATCAAATTCATGACTCGAGTCTGACTCGAGTCCAAGTCACATGACTCGAGTCCACACCTCTGCCGTGAGGTTCGTGGGATATCAAACCCAGGGGACCTTCTGCGTTGGGGCTTTCACGTGACCGTGTCGACTGCTATCGACTGCAAATTTTGCCGTAAAACTTTCGTGACTTGCAGGAATTCACATTCTCGGTTCTTTCGGTAAAGTCACGTAGGTAGAAAATAAAACTAATAAAATTGAATTAAAAATAAAAGCAAAAAAATCACGACGTTTCGATCGCTTGTGTTGCGATCGAAACGTCGTGGGTCTTTTTGCTTTCATTTTAGTTTTTTTATTTTCTATCTACGTGACTTTACCGAAAGAACCAAGAATACGGCCACCTACACCAATGGCGATTTTTATCTGAACCGGTCCTGGGCCTCCCCACCCCCCCCCCCCCCCCCTTCGGTCAACTGATACGGAGTACTCCTTGCGGTGTTACACGTTCGAGTCTGCAATATTTTGCTGTCTTTTCTTGGATTTTCTGTTTGCACATAGTCACTTTAAGATGTTTTCTTGTTCATGTTTTTGTTTTTTGTTTGTTGCGGTTGCACCCGATTCAAGAGCCGAATGGCTCACAGGGCTATACCTAATCAATGAAACTGAAATGTGCCCAGGCAAGAGGAGCTACGGTATATACGGGGTGTTTGAAAAAGATGGACCCGATTTGAAATCGCTATATCTCTGCAACCACGAACCACCCATGAATTATTGACATCACCTACAGTATTTCACGTGCAGCTAATGGGTGTTTTGCATTGCAAAATAATGAAGAGGTGGCAGCAGCTTGGACCTCTTCACCGAGTGATGGATTGGTCATGGCTCGTGGTGATGGTGTGCTTTATACTGGCGATGTCAACTTGTAACTCGGAGAGAGGACGACTCAAGAGGCACGAGGAGGAATTATAGAAAAGCAGGAAAGCAGCAGCAGCAAGCCGGGCGTTCGGGCCGACGATACCAACCGACTGCCTAAGCTTTGCGATCCTCTACGTGTTAAGATGTTTTCAACCAAATAAGGAGTGTTGTTACGTAGCACTAATTTTTGTGGCATTTATTGAAATGACATGCAGTTATGCTGGATAATCACCATAAGTATTTAATTCATATTGTAGAACCGGTTGGTCATGGTAATTAAGGGATATTACTCTGTGGAAATACTGGGAGGTAATAGTGTTGAAATGACTGTTTTAAATAAGAAAGTCAACGCATTCGACGTTTCTGGCAACATCCGTTCGTAGCATGAAGGGCCTTCGCCCAAAACGTCTATTATATATTTTAAAACGCAGTGGTATTGTGGTTGAGCCAACGCAGAAGCCGCATTACTGAAGTAACGTGATGTATGACTGATAGGTTACAGCATTAATTGATATGACTTGTACACTGTATACTATGTATAAATGCTGCTGGGTGAAAAAAGTACGGGGACTCATCTACTTACAAACAATTGACTTACACATTTTTAGAGATACGAACAAACCTGACCGTATGTCCAGTTGCCTGTTCGGGACCGAGACTCATAAATTCAACTGCCGCGCAATAGATGGCGGTGGTGGCATCTACATCTGCAGAACATGAAGAACCAGTGGCATCTACATCTGCAGAACGTGGAGAACCAGTGGCATCTACATCTACAGAACGTGAAGAACCAGTGGCATCTACATCTGCAGAACATGAGGAACCAGTGGCATCTACATCTGCAGAACGTGGAGAACCAGTGGCATATGCATCTACAGAACATGAAGAACCAGTAACATCTACATCTACAGAGCATGAAGAACCAGTGGCATCTACATCTGCAGAACGTGAAGAACCAGTGGCATCTCCATCTACAGAACATGAAGAACCAGTGGCATCTACATCTACAGAACGTGAATAACCAGTGGCATCTACATCTACAGATCATGAAAAAACCAGTGGCATCTACATCTGCAGAACATGAAGAACCAGTGGCATCTACATCTACAGAACATGAAGAACCAGTGTCATCTACATCTACAGAACATGAAGAACCAGTGGCATCTACAGAATATGAAGAACCAGTGGCATCTACATCTGCAGAACATGAAGAACCAGGTGGCATCTACAGAACGTGAAGAACCAGTGGCATCTACATCTGCAGAACATGAAGAACCAGTGGCATCTGCAGAACATGAAGAACCAATGGCATCTATATCTGCAGAACGTGGAGAACCAGTGGCATCTACATCTACAGAACGTGAAGAACCAGTGGCATCTACATCTGCAGAACATGAAGAATCAGTGGCATCTACATCTACAGATTATGAAAAAAACCAGTGGTATCTACATCTGCAGAACATGAAGAACCAGTGGCATCTACATCTGCAGAACGTGAAGAACCAGTGGAATCTACATCTACAGCACGTGAAGAACCAGTGGAATCTACATCTACAGCAGATTATGCAACTCTTAAATCCATTCCCCGTGTTTAGTGTACACGCCGTACACATTTGGAATCGAAAGGAACCGACCGCGTTCGTAAGTAGAGGAGTCCCTGCAATTGTTTATTTATTTTAGTGTGACGCAACCACTAATGGCTGACGAAGCCGGTTGCTAAGGTACCCCCTCCCTCACAACCCGCGGGGGGGGGGGGGAGAGACGGGCTGTTAGCAACGCCCACGTGACCACGCGCGCTCGCAATCCCATTGGCCGCGGGGGCAGCGCGCGGCCCTGCAAGGCGAGTCGCACGACCGCGCCAGCCAATGAGCGCCGAGCTCGCCTTCGCGTGAGCCTGCGTGACGTCACGCGATGGGCGTGGCCTGGGGAAACCCGACTCGCTATAAAAGGCGCGGGTGGGCGGTTGGGGGTGGGTAGTCCATTGGCATCAGCCGCCGTTGACCGCAGGCAGAAGCGTCGAAGGAGGGGGGGGGGGAGGCCGGGGACTTTACTGATTCAGGGTGTTATTAAACCGTCGGACAATCGAAGCGTCCGGAATACAACAAAGAAAGCAATGGAGGCCAACAACTACAGCAGCATTATCGCGTCCGCGTCGCTGGCCGTGCAGTACGTGGATTCGCTGCTGCCAGAAAATCCTCTGCAGACGCCCATGCGCATGTTCTGGAGCCACATGCTGGAGCGCTTCACCAAGTTCCAGGTGGCTACGTGGGGGTCCCTGCTGGTCCATGAGTTGGTCTACTTCTCCTTCTGCCTGCCCGGCTTCATCTTCCAGTTCATCCCGGCCATGCAGAAGTACAAGATCCAGGCGGTGAGATGAACGGGTCCTCTCCTGCACCTGTTTCTCTCTCTGCTCCCCCCCCCCACCACCACCCCATGCCGCAGTGGCTATGAGATGTTGACTACCTCGCCTGGTGTTCAGGAGGTCGTGGTTGATCACCAACCCTGCTGCTGCTGTATATTTGTAGTCTGTGTGTCTCTCATCATCACGGTGGCTAGGAGATGTTAACTACCTCGCCTGGTATACAGGAGGTCGTGGGTTCGAGCCCGACCCTGACACCTGCTGTATATTTGGAGTTTGCGTGTCTCTCTCATCATCATCATCACCACTGGCGAGGAGATGTTGACTACCTCGCCTGGTGTTCAGGAGGTCGTGTGTTCGATCCCGACCCTGACCGTCTACTGTATATTTGGAGTTTGTGTGTTTCTCTTTCATCATCATCACGGTGGCTCGGAGATGTTAACTACCTCGCCTGGTGTTCAGGAGGTTGTGGGTTCAATCTCAACCCTGTCGCCTGCTGTTGTATATTTGGAGTTTGCGTGTCTCTCTGTCATCATCATCATGGTGGCTAGGAGATGTTGACTACCTCGCCTGGTGTACAGGAGGTCGTGGGTTCAATCTCAACCCTGACGCCTGCTGCTGCTGTATATTTGGAGTTTGCGATGTCTCTATCCCACCGCGTTTTTCCACCCACCACATGCAGAATTCGGCTGCTTTAAATGTCCACACGATGACGGGAAGCCAATTCTTGGAGCTTTCATTTGTGACGGACAGGTCGCTTCTTTAACAACAAAAAACGATGTATAGCTCAGTGGGGGGGGGGGGGGGGGGCTCCTTACCTGGTAAAACATTAAACTTGATTAGAGTCGATGTCAAGGTGAATCACGTGGGTTGCGCTGTGGACATTTAAACATAGCGTGTTGTGTTTTAAAATTCGGCACGGATATAAGATCGATGGGGAGGGAATTCGAAATCGATGTAAAGCGATTGATTACGCTGGCGGATTTGAACCGCCAGCAAATTGGTCGATTTCCTGGATCATCGATCAGCACGATAGCCTAGCGGTCCTCACGTCTGGACTCGCATTGCATCTCACCCAGATATCATTGCCAATTCATTACCCCCCCTCCCCCCCGGGTCTTAAAAGGCTCTTAGGGGCCGTCCATAAATGACGTCACGCACCTAGGGGGGAGGGGGGGGATCATACATTTGTAACGATGTGTCACGAGGAGGGGTGGGGATTGAGAAATGTGACGTCACATCAAAATGCGCAACTTTAAATAAATATAGAATTGTTATAACAACACTAATTGTTATAACAACACTCCTACAACATCAGAGTGCAGCGCCACATTAAATGCGCACTACAATGACAATAGTTTAAAGCGATTTGAAGCATGGTTTATTTTCAAAATGGAAATATGGTTTTGGGGGGGGGGGTGGCAGAGCTTTCTGACGTCATATTTGAGGGGGGGGTTGACTTGTTGTGAGCCGTGTAACGAGGGGGGGTCAAAAATCCTCTAAAATCGCGTGACGTCATTTATGGACGGCCCCTATAACCACGGCGCCATCGCTTCACCCGTATAAGAATGTGGCCTTGCCATTGAGTATAGTTTTAAGGCCGCTGTATATATTCGTATTCTTAAACTCGAGATAACATCAATCTCATACCTGTCCACCCCTTATCAGTGCCTGCATTATTACAGACCAATTCAGACCTCATTAGTCATTATAAATATCAACGTTCATCCTACAAAGTCCCATCACAAGGGAGAAACACACAAATAGACAAACATGATTTTTTTTTTTTTGCCCGGATTGAAACGGATGTATGGTCGTATTGACCTGAACTCAATTTCCCCGTACAAGAATACGGGTAAACCGTGTATGGGTTGGCAGGTATGGTTTACGTGACCTCTACCAGCCACACGCAGTACAGGTAGTCCTCTCATTACGATGGAGATGCGTTACGATGACCCCATCGTAAGTCAAAAATATCGTAAGTCGAAGATGGCCTAGCCTACCCAGGAGTCTTAAAGAATGGTGATAATTTAGCAAAACAGAGCAATTTATAGTACCGTACTGTATGAACTATATACTGTATTTATTAATTACAATACTGTATTGCACAGTAAAATGTAAAGTAAAAAAAAAGTAAATTCTTAGCCTACCTATATGAACTGCGATTTAATAGAAAGTATTTTCAGGAAACAATCCTGTCTGCATCACACAAGGCGGGAGATGCGTACATCCTGGCAGCGTCCTCACGTACAGTATCGTACCTCGTGCGCTGCTGCGTTTGCCTGCCGCACGAAATTTTAAATATTTTACAATTTTGTCGTATCGCCATCGTAAGATCGAAATATCGTAAGTCGGACCATCGTAACTCGGGGACTACCTGTATATGAAATGTTTAACCGCACCTCCGATTTGCACAGTTGACTACGTACGGTGCGATAGAAGTCCATACATTATCGATTAATTGTTTTTTAATATCTGATTACTTTAACAATTGTCAATTAATCGCTTTAATTCATTTTTCTAAAATTAGTCGAATCGCCAGTGGCACATGCGATAATATCACTAGGCATGTGAAGCGGTCATTGATAATTTCGCAAGGTTTACGTAAATATTGTGTCAGCTGATATGCTCATGTTCGGGTTTTACTTGGCCCATCATAACTCCGGGGTCGATAAAATAGGGGGCCCCACTTTGTGTGAAGGGAATTCAAGTTGTCCTAATAGACAGACTTGCCCCCTGCCATAGCAACGTGGAATGTCCACCGCTGGCTCATGGTTGTAAATCAGAAGAGGTTCATTCGAGCAGGAAACCACTTTTGAGTGTTTAAAAATGGTGTGCGCAAAAGTACAAACCAGACCAAATATGAAACAATACAAGTAGATGGAAAAACCCATGATAGAAAGTAATCGATTCCTGAATTCGGTGACAATTCATCGAAATGCCAGTCAAATAGTGCAAGCATATATAGTATAGAGTGTTATGCAAGAGATGGGTTGTGACATCTCAGTTCTGCGTGAGATGGAGACGCCATGGGGTGGCCTGCATCCAGACCCTGACTGGTGACGATGAATAATATTAGATTTCCAGCAAAAATAAAAGAGATGTAACCTCCAGTGTGGTGGGTGGGTAGGTGTTTGGGCGAGTTCGTCGATGAGACAAAACCACCTGGTAGACAGTCCTCAACATGAGTGGAGGAATCGCCGAGTCAAGTTGAAGGGGACGGTAACCGTGGTCTAAACCAGCGGTCGGGAACCTATGGCTCGCGAGCCATATATGGCTCTTCCAGTGACGGCATATGGCTCCCAGACAATTTTGAGTTGAAAAAAAATTAATAATAAAAAAATCAGTTTGGAACTGATTTTAAAATACTTGTGATATTGCTTAATAATACTATTGTGTCATTTTAAAGTAAACAGAAATTAGTTTTGAAGATAAATTTCACGGGTCACGCCTGCATGAAGCTCAACCTCACCACGTATGAACCAGACTACAAGGCCATCAGCAAAACCATACGTTAAAAATACTATATGGCTCTCAATGAAATATATTTAGAAATATTTGGCTTTTATGGCTCTCCCAGTCAAAAAGGTTCCCGACCCCTGGTCTAAACGATAGAAGGTGACTCACTACCGGTGAGCAGGTGACCAGAGTGAATTGGGTGAGTGCCGGATCATTAATCAACCTTTCATAATCACAATAACCCCCCCTCCGCCTCAAATCGGTGCACCTGATGAGTTAATGATGACGTCACCCTGCTGCTGCTCTATATAAGACCGGGAGCCAGAGCAGAGCCTCACCATTCTGGCGAATTGCCCGATGATGCTGGATGCAATTACCAGCGAAACGTCGTGCTACTCAAATTGTAAATGTTGTGGTTTCACGCTTCAACACACCGGTGGGCTAAAGCAGTGAACTATTTGTCTTTTGTCAACGTGACACTTTTTACTGATTGGCCTTGTCAGGTGGTGGAGGGTTACGACACATGTATAAATAACGCGATCTAAACCCAAAAACGTTGATTATGAATAATATTGGTCGCGAAAGCCTGCTATGTGTTAAACTCATTAATCAACCTTGACTGCAACTGGGTGCTCCCCGAGATACGCACCTCTGATGAGCTCGGTTGGCTACGTACGGTGTTTAAGAAGTTCAACTTACATACTCTGGCTGCAGCAGCAGCAGTGATCATTGTTCAGAGTTCATTACCGAGGGCGGGGGGTGGGGAAACGCATGTGTCTCATTTGAGCGAGCGTGGCCGTGCGGAGAGGTGTGACACGCGCCGTCTCGCCCGCAGGACAAACCGGAGACCATGGAGAAGCAGTGGAAGTGCTTCAAGACGCTGCTCTTCAACCACTTCTTCATCCAGCTGCCGATGATCTGCGGGACCTACTACTTCACAGAGTTCTTCAGCATCCCCTACGAGTGGGACGCCATGCCGCGCTGGTGCGTGTCGCGCCTTGCACACACGCGCCTCTCGCTCTTTCAACACGGGGGTTGTTGTGGGAGTTAGGGACGCAGTGTTCCGGTAGGGGGCACTGCTTCACCTTAAAGGGTAATAACTCCAGATGAAAATCAAGACGTCGGCCAAAGCCAGCGATGACGCCTCCACACCTCGTTGCCAACGCGCTCTCCCCTCCGCCAGAATCCCACAGCTGCTGTACCGTAGAATCGCAGCAACCTCCAAGAACTGCCCCAAGAGTCTCCCACCATCTTCTGCCATATAGACTCAAATAGAAACCTACATGGTCATACAGGAACCTATTGACTCGCACAGAGACGCGTAGATCTGCCCTAACGGTCTCCCACCATTTTCTCTTATGGCTTCCCTGTGGTCTCCGGACTAGGGGAGACTGCTCCAATGGCTGTCTCAGCAATCGGCCCTCCCCTCATCCTGCATGTGTCCCACCCAGCACTACCTTTTGTTCCCCAATGATATCTACGAAACACCCTGCATCCATCTCGGACACTTGTACTTAAGTGCCGAATCGTCTCCGAATCGCAGCTGTCAACCCTGCTTTGTGCTGCAGCAATGTCTGTCTCTCGCGCCTCTCGTGTCATCGCTTCGCTGCCTCGCCTCTGTCCCTGCTACCAGCGCATCTATTGTCATGGCTCTCAGATAACTTTCCCGTCCGTCTGTCCTTCGACAGACTTGAGAGAGTGACCATCCTTCTTGTCACCACCTTGGCTGCATGTCCTTGCCAACTCTGCTGAACAAAGCGGTTTTTGCTTGTCCCTCACAACCCCGTAGGAGAAACTTTGTAGCTCATCGCCCACTTCTGTTGCACCCAAGTAGAGTTGGCGGTACTTTGCATCCCGTGTGAACTGCCCAGCACTCTCAGATCCACGTTTCTGTGTTTCGTGTCACGATATGTCTCGAATTTACCTAGTCCTCAATGTCAACTTAAAAGTAAAAATCGTAATTATCGTTTATTATTTCTGCAGAAATTTATCTTACGAAGCACTTCACAGCACCAATGATTAAAATGAATGAACACTGATTAATGGAGTTTTTTTTTCTCCCAAACATCACAATATATGACCACAGAACTTGGGCAATTGTTGCCATCCCATTCTAGCTGCCTTCCCGCTCCCCTGTGGTTTACCGAGGCCTCCAATCGATAAATTGTCAATGTACAACCTTGGCGGCGCCATGCCCCAGTGGTGGCGCGTTTGCCGCTTGTTGCGGACATTTTCAGTTGAGACCTGGCAGGCCGCACTGGTTATTACAGCAAGGTGTATTAACAATTAAATACTATGTGTCATCTACTTCAGTGAACATTAAAATTATTCACAAGATCTAGCCACTGTGTACTGGCGTAACGATCCAATTCTGTGGGGGCAAAAAAAATGACACCGCAATTTACTCGTTTGAAAGACGCGTAGCAATCTTCTCGCCCAACCGCAAAAACTTGTCAGGGTCCTCCTGAAAAGGAGTTGATATTGTTTACGTGGCATAACTCAAAGGAGGGGGTCCAGCAAGGTGCCGATGTTACTGCTCTGTGTAATCCCCTTTGAGTAATTTGCGGGTCAAGTTTTAAGCATTGGGATGTTTACATTGCATGATCATTTAGTCTATGATATGATACCAGAGAACCCGGAGAAAAAGGGGAGAACATACAAACTCGACGCAGAAGGGTGCCCGAGTCGAGAGCTGAACTCGGTCCCTTGTTGCTGTGAGGCACGAGTGATGTCGCTGTGCCACCCTGCCGCCCATGTGCGTGTGGTTGTGCAGGTACGTGGTGATTGCCCAGTGCCTGGGCTGCGCCGTGGTGGAGGACACGTGGCACTACTTCCTGCACCGCCTACTGCACCACAAGAGCATCTACAAGTACATCCACAAGGTTCACCACCAGTTCCAGGTGAGGACTACCCCCCCGCCCTATCCCCCATCACCCGCCCTCCCCCCACGCACAGACGGCCAAACCCCAGACATTACTAGCCTGATCTTGATTTGAAGCTTTCGTGACTTGCAGGAATCCATACTGTTTGGTTCTTTCGGTAAAGTCACGTAGGTAGAAAATTAATAGATCACGACGTTTTGATCGCTCCACAAGCAACCGTCGTCAGGTGAGACAAACACAGCGTCAGCGGTTCTCCTGCTGTCTTTGTCTCCTCACCTGATGGCGGTTGCTTGTGTTGTGATCGAAACGTAGTTATCTATTAATTTTCTATCTACGTGACTTTACCGAAAGAACCAAAGAGTATTACCAGCCTGCTTGGCACTACGTGTGTTTGTGTGTGTGTGTGGGCGTGGTGCTAGTCACCTACCCCCTCGTGTACCGTGCTGGCCTTCATAGGTGCTTTCTGACAGCACTTTCCTCAACAGTCTGTTAAGGCTTTACGGGGGATCTTTGTATTTGTGGGGAGTGCCAGTGTAGCGGTTGGCGCACCGCGCTACAAACCCGGCGTGGTGACCCTCGTTCGATTCCCGCTCACTGCCAACGTCGTTGGCCTCAAATCGTCGTGATACGCGGTGTGTAAACATCGCCACTGGGGAGACGACGGCGGCCAGGCGTGGTGCTGGCCACACCACCCACCCCCTCGTGCGCCGTGCCAGCCTTCAAAGGCGCTCGCTCAACGGCACTTGCCCCAGCAACTTTGAAAAGGCTGTAAGTGGGACTTTTGTTCTTGGTGTGTGTGAAACGTGTGGGCATGTTGAGTTGCACTCGTGTTCACTGAGGGTTGTCTAGCGGGCCGACACTGGGCAGCTTCTGCTGCTGCTGCTGGGAAAGCGAATGAGTCCTCGCGCGAGGGGAATGCATAAACGCGGGAATTCCGGAGCTTGGTCGCCATCCAAGAACTCGGTGTTTGCCCACTGTGTTTGAGTGATATGTTTGTCCTTCGTGTGTCTGTAGTGTATGTGTGGCGTGCTGTGTGTGTTAACCTTGTATCATCCTGTGTGTGCGTGTGTTTTTTGCTGTGCGTGTGGTGTTGGGAGCCGTAGTGCAGTCCTTTGCAGTGGGTCCAGAATGTCGAAGTTAACTAGGGAGCAGCAAGGCTCTGTGTGTTTGTATCAGTCTGGTCTGGTACTCTCTGTGTGCGTGCTGCCATTGCGTGATGGTCAGCACACTGGACTTAAAATGCAGAGGTCAGCGGTTCTGTTCCTTCTCTGGGCACAGTAGCTGAAACAATGGCGGGCAGGTTTCTAAAATCCTCCCACCACCGCCTCTGTCCACCCAGCAGCAGTGTAGATGGGTTCACTGCAGTTAAATCGATCGGCAGATTGCGTGCGTTGGGGTAAAATGTGGGTAACCCCACCTATTCCAAAACGCTCGGTCGGCATGGAAGAGCAGACCAATTACACCCCTACAACCTCGCTCTACAAGTTGTAGCCCTTCCGCCAGCCGTGGCATAAGCGGGCAATTGCAGGGCTGCACCTTCATCTCGAACTAGCAAAGTCATTCGAATCGCAGCGACTCAGCAGAGTGAGCGAGAGCATGAGTTTGTGGGGTCATTGCCACGGCAGTGATTGAGAGAGGTGGTCACATAGATACGCGCTTAGGGTTAGGTCACTGCGCAGTGCCACCAGCGTGGCCTCGTTTATGGCGCGACCTTGAGAAACCTTATCTGGTGGCGGGTCGAGGTTCGTCGCTTGAGCAGAGCAGGTTTTGTCAGGGCCATCGGGCAATTACTTGCGTCAGCGTGGTTTGCTGTAAAATCGTTTGGGTGGACGGTTTTTTGTTGTTGTTTCGTAACTGAATTTTCAACGGCCGGTGCGGTAATGGGAATTGTTCAGACATCCCAAAGTAGCCAGGAGTCCTCCTGAATAAGGGTGTTGAGACTTGCCGAGGCTTTTGCTGGGTGAAGGGCTTGAGTCTCTTTTCGCGCGAGACCCTGTAATGGAATGCGAGTTATGTAATTTAACCCAGAAAAGACCTCGCCGAGTCTCAAGACGACATTTCAGGAGGTGTCCTGCGCTGTGGGGGGGGGAAAGGGGGGTTTGGCCAATTCCTTTTAAAGGAATGTTGGTATTCCACGTGGGAGGAGCATCGGGTTGCCCACAGAAAATCCACGCGAGGGGATAACTTACACTCAGTGGGTTCACAAGCCCACTTGCTGCACTGAATGTTTACAGCCACTTAACAGCCCAAGTGGCTTTTGTTGTTTCACAAGTCTTGACGTGATCTCCCAACCCCCTCGTCCAAATCGCCAAATTTCAGGCGCGAGTCAAGCAGTCCCTTCCTCGGTGAGAATCAGAAGACCCCATCACTAACCCTACCCGCATCCCTGACCCCACATCACTACCACGCGGCGCTGCGCTTAACCCCGTGTCTATACCCCTAACCCTGCATTCCTAACTCTAACTCTGCATCGCTGACCCGACTCTATCCCTAACCATACCCCTAACCCCGCGCGTGTGTGTCTCCCTGCGTGTGGCCGTGCAGTCCCCGTTCGGGATGCAGGCGGAGTACGCTCACCCGGCCGAGACGGTCATCCTGGGCATGGGCTTCTTCATCGGCATCATGATCTTCTGCAACCACCTGGTGCTGCTCTGGGCCTGGGTCACGTTCCGCCTCATGGAGACCATTGACGTGCACAGGTTTGGCGCGCACACACGCACACGAGACCCCACGCGCACAGATGCTACGCACAGACGTACCGCGCACACAGATGTACGCACGGAGAGGCGCGCGTGTACGTGCAGACGTACAGCGTAGACCTAAGCACGTGCACACACAAATTCACGCGCAGACGGTAAACGCAGACGTACGCACACCTGCATCCGCAGGCCGTGCCCGAGTGCTTGGCTCCGACTCGGCCGTTTGTGAATTTCATTTGCGCGCACAAATAAACTCGCCCTGCTGTGCACGCCCGCCCGCCTGCTTGTTCTCCGCTCTCTTCGGAATTTTTGTTTCGTTTTTCCTTTTGCGTGGCCAAGCGCTGCGGGCCGGCCCAGCGTCACATGATGTGGGAGTGAAGCTCACTCGGAGAGCTGGAAAACGCAATGCACACAACACACCACGTACACAACGCACACATACACCTCAAAACATGCACAACATGCACAACATGCACAACACACACACATACAACAAACACACAAAACATACACCATACACATACAACACACAGACACAAGACACATACAGAATAGATCACGCGTTCGGCTGGGGTAATTGCAGGACTCTGAGGAATGTATATGCTCATGTCAGCTTGTGGCAGAATACAAACACTGGCAGTAATTACGGTGAGCACGCACACACCGAGAGCGGGCCGTGGGCGATGACACACGGGGAATGAATGAATCGGGAGTGCTGGTATTGCTGGGTGCTGCTGCTGAACGTGGCCTGTCGTGCAGCGCTGCGGTGGCAGTGAGAATTGGTGGATCGCGCACAGATTTGTAATTACTTCCCTGCCTAGACCTCGGGATATCGAGGCCGCCATCGTCCACCGTATGGTGGCAGCACAGCAAGTAGGTGTATTACAATCTGTTCCATCTGTACAGGGATTGAGTGTTGCCCCTCACTTCTGACGTGCGGGTTTTCTCAGGGCACTCCGGTTTCCTACCACGTGTATAAAGCACTAAGTAATATACCAATATAAAATCACGGAGCTTGGGCAATCATTGGCGCCGGCTCTAGAGAGGCTGCCTTTCTCAATTCTCTGCGGTTTCACACGCAGCTCTCAATCATCCTCACTCTCTCACCGAGAGTGAAACTCTAGATATTTTACTGTTGTGATTATTGTTGTTTGGCCTGGGTGCTGGGCGTCGGGGCCTGCCCCACGAACCTTGGCTCTCGGTCCAGCTGGCGTGGGCTCCACGAGCTTGCGCAAGGCTACTGCGGGGGCTCGCCAGCAGCGAGCACCAGCTGGCTCCGTGGATTATTTTGCCAAAATAATAAGCGGGGAGAACGCACGGCCAAATTTGTCTCGGTTTTCCTTGGCCGACTTTGCCGCTGCTTTTGCTGGATACCCGTCTTGGTTGTGCGTTTCGAGCCCCGTGGCCGCCCTAGTTAATCCTGCGGGTGCATTTTCCGAAACAGTACTTACGCACCGTCTGCTTCGCAGTGCATGGTTCCAAAATCCGTACCTCCCCATGAGCACTTTTGGCTACGTATGGTGCGAATGAAGTTCTACGTACGTACAAATTTAGCACGTTTGAAAGGAAAAACGCAAAGAACTCTAGTGGTATTACACGCACGTATACACTAGCAGCCATCGCCCCCCTATTACCAGACTGATGCCCAGTTTGCAGGCCAGGTGCCGAGTCGCCTCGTGCCACACAGGTCCAGCTGCAGCTGGGGGTGATCTTCAGGGCACCACGGTGGCGAGATGTCAACTACCTTGCCGGGTGTGCAGGAGACCGTGGGTTCGATCCAGACCCTAATGCCTGTTGTATATTGGAGTTTGTACATTCTCCCTGTGGTTGCGTGTATTTATCTCCGGGTCCTCTGGTTGTTCCCCCCACATTTAAGACACATGCGTTTCGAGTATTTGGCTGCTATAAATTTCCACGTGATAAGCCACCTCGTTGAGCTATCATTTGTGATTGCCAGGTTTGCTTCTGAAAAAGAGCTCTACACCTGAGTGGGCCGTACCTGGTAAAATAAACAATAGTTTCGTTTAAATGTGTTCCGATGCGATGCAAGTCGCTTATCTCGTGAGAAGTGCCACGCCACGGGCGTCGCGGTGGGCGGCGGCTCCTCCATCAACACGACTCCTCACTGCGAGTAGTATCATGATTATTATTATTGCTGTGCTTGTAACCGTGGGTGCCTGTCGCTTGCTCTCCCATCCCCTGTGGCAGCGGCTACGAGATCCCGCTCAACCCCCTGCACATGATCCCCTTCTACGCTGGCGCTCGCTTCCACGACTTCCACCACATGAACTTCGTGGGCAACTACGCCTCCACCTTCACGTGGTGGGACCGGCTGCTGGGCACCGATTCGCAGTACAAGGAGCACTACACGGGCAAGACGGCGCAGAAAGACAAGAAGCTCGAATAAAATCCGTGGCGGTCGGGAGTAGGCGGGGGGCTAGGGTCGGGAGGGGGGACCCAGAAAACACGGGACGTTGGGCCCAATGTCCCGTGTTTACTGGGGAGCAATCGGCGAGCAGTGCGGGGGGCAGTGCCAGGCAGACACATCTCTCTCTCTTGAGAAAACCGTCGCCGCCTTTGCGGTTCGTGCCAGCGGAGCGGAGCGTGGATGCCGCCACCCCCCCCCCTCCATGCTCGGTAGTGTGGGCTTAGAAAGCGCCGGGGGAGCGTGGAAATCGCTGGCGTCGCCGGACGTGCAGTCGGCTCTGCGAATGCTTCCTCCCCCTTCTTGCTACCCAGTTAACGCGGAACGTTGAGCCAACGTTGAGGCAATGTTGGCCCATGGTTCTGCTCGTGTGACTTATCAACTTGGCAACCAGCGGCGATTTTAATTCCGTAAATGATTTAGCTCCGAAACGGTTTCAAGGCGTTGGTTGTAAATCCCGCAAGTGGTGGCCGTGCGTACCTATGCGTGCCGTGCTAGTGTAGACGCGCCAGGATGGCCGTGTGCCCGGTGTAATGCCTCGGTGATTCGGCGGTACCATGTGCCGCACGGCGTGCATGCTGTTTCAAGGGACCAGCGGAGTTGTCCCGACCGATTATTTGCACATTCTGGGTCGTGTCAGCCTTCGCCTGCCGTGTGATGTCTTAGAGGAACCCTCGTGTACAAAGTCTGTTGTCTCTGTTAAACTATTGTTGCGTATCGATCTGTGCGAACGTACTACTTGTCAGAAATCAATCTCGTGCTCTGCATAATATGCGTTTAAAGGCAAGGGAAGGTGATGAGAAGGAAAAAAATATTATATTGGAATTTAAAGAAATAAATTAAAAATTTCGCAGCGGTGAAATGGGCTGAAATGAAAGTGGTGTTTTTAATAAATGTGGCTGATGTTTTGTACGCTCGTTCCAATGCGGATCGTCAATGCGGGGCAATTGCCCCCTCTGTGTTTACGCTGGGACCTCCCGCATCTCCATCGTCACAGCCACGGCGCGTCACACCCACTCTTCCCCCACCCCCGTCGACAGAGACGCAACTCGCAAACGCTCTCGTTCCTGATTGAGAAAGTAAAGTATCCGCTGTGTGGAGTGCATCACACTCGCGATATATCCGCGATATAATAACACCACAAGTATACATCTTGCAACTAAAAATGTCCCGAAACTCTTGAAGAGTGTACAGCAAGAAGGCTCCGTGTAGGCATCGTCGTTATTTTTGGGGGGCCACGGTGGCGAGATGTTAACTACCTCGCCTCGTATCCAGGAGGTCGTGGGTTCCGTTCCAACCCTGCTGTATATTTGGAGTTTGCATGTTGTCCCCATGATCGCGTGGATTATTCTCCCGAGTCCTCCGATTTTTCCCTTCACACACATCAACATCACGCATTTAGAGTATTTAGCTGCGATACATTTCCACGTGATAATCCACTTCGTTGAGCTATAATTCGTGTAGCCAGGTCTCTTCTGAAAAGCTCTACATAGCTCAGTGGGCCTTACCTGGTAGTACCTGGTAACATAAAAAAAGTTTCCTGGGATAGGTTCACACCCCCACCGCCACTCGATGTTGTTCCTTACCTCGTTTGTGCAGTTTACTTCGCCCCATGGCGTACACGCCGTGCTTGGCGGGCATCTCGTCTGACACATCTCCTCATTCGTGGTGCGAGATTTGATTTGAGGTCGTGACCTTCGGGTTGTGAGCCACGCCTGGCCTCGTTGCAGCCGGCGTTGGATAAACGATCATTCGGCTCAAGCGTCCGAGATGCCGATCCGCTGCTTCTCCGTCCCCTGCCCAGCAGCGTAAATGGGTTTGTCGCAGATGAATCGGCAGGTCGCGTGCGGTGGGTTAACGTGTGGCGAGGCCCACCTTCCAACACGTCTGGTCAACGTGGAAGAGTAGGCCAACATACCGTCGCTGTCGTGGAGGAACCTGCCTCCAGCAGTGGCATGAGTGAGCAATTGCGGGGCTGTACCCTTACCTTTTTAAATCCTTTATATTAAGTTCACTTGCTTGCTTAGGACCGTGCAAATCTTTCGGTCGTTTTTTAACCCACTTCCCGTGATCCAATCGAGCTGACATTTTGCACACAGACTCGTTGTGCATGACAATGCCTTTTCGTGAAAAAAAAATTTCCCAAATTTTACACTGTTTAGGGAAAAATAAATAAATATTTAATTAACAATTGTTTAATGCTGCCAGACAATCATCTGACCCATAGGTGGAAGCCATCTCAAGCCAGAGGACGAGAGGACTTTAGCCGCCCCGATGCCACGCATATAAAGGATTTATAGTGAAAAACTTTGTTTTTACGGGTTTACTTGTTAATCCTGCAAACATCCACCGATCCAACAACTGCCTCGTAAACGTCCTCCATACACATTGCTGATGAAACTTCCTCTTGTATTTAAGTGGATGCGTTTCTTTATGTAAATCTGTGGTCTCTGTGCAAGTCTGTCTCGCACAGGGCACACCGCTGCCCGCTTCAATCATTCGCTGGCAGAATGTCGGATGCTCTTCTTATAACAACAGATATTTACGGCACACGTATATCATGTGATGCGTGGGCGGCGCAGAGCAAAACGCCATCGATATTTTTTATTTCTTGCGTAAAGCCCGCGGACAAGCGGGAAGAGAGGCCCGAACCCGCACCAGCAATCGCCCAAGCTCCGTGGCCCTTGTATGGTGATGTTTGTTCAACTCCCGTCGTTCAACGGGCTGCTCCTGGAGCCGTCCGCTGCCACCGCCGGCCAACCTCGACGCGAACAATTCAAAAGCCGCCCAACGGCTGCGCAACCGAAGCCAAAAGGAGTAACCGGCTGCGTGCGTTGTGACGCGTGATGCTTGGCTGTCGGGGGGGTTATGCTGACCCTTGAAATATCTGGCAGTGAAATTCAGCCAGGGCTCACTTGGACTGCGCCCCAGGTCCCTCTTCAGCGTCCGGGCCGCGGAGAGATCTACGCTCCCAGCGCAGAGCCCACTGCCAAAGTGGCGCGGTGCGTTGAGATGAAATATCGCTCGGGGCTTCCTGTGCGAGCTGGCGTCGGGCTCGTGCGCTCTGCCCTGTGGTATTTTTTTTCCAGAATCAATCTTTAAAAATCCACATCCATCGCCATGATTATTTTTTAATTTTCACAATATGTCCCCGCACTTGCACAGTCTCTCCACAGTCCATCTCCAAACTCCTCAAACCCATCTTCCCAAAATGGAATTTCCACAAGCGAGGGACCGTATTGCGATACGCCACTGTGGTCTTGCGCTCCTTCACCAGAGGAGGGACGGCAAAATCCACGCGAGCTCACCCTTGCCTCCCGAAGCCCCTCTCGTCTTGGCCAGCAGACCCAGACATTGGCATCTCGCTCCTGAACGCATTGCCAGCAATCGCGCGCAAAGAGGAGACTCGGGCAATGCCAGAAGAGAGGAGAATTACCCTCCGATGGCGTTGGCTCTTCAAGTGCCGCATGATTATTGAGCAACAAAAAAAACACACCAGGTAGGGGGTGGTTATAACTTCCCACGAAAACTTATGACAGATTTTCCAGGATAAACGGCGACCTACCCTCAAGAAGAAGACAATCCCTGGAAATACAGGACAGGTGGCAACCCTGCCCCAGGCTTCAATGGCGGCGCTCGGCACAGGAAAAGGAAGGCGAACTTGGGTGGGACCCAAGCAGCTCAAGGGGTCCCAGATTCGTCACGAATTTATTTTTATTTTTGTGGGTCAACGAAGTAACAGCTCATAATGAAATCAAATGAATTCAAGGTTAAAAAAAATGTACATTCGCGTTCGTCACTAGAATTCCACTGGAATCGATTGCCGATTTCCTGACTTTTGGAGGCGATAAACGGTTCTGAAAACGGATTGCCTATCATGTGTATCAGGCTTCCCCCTCCCCCCTCTCTGTCCAATGCGTTGGCGTGTGCAGCAGTTTGTCTCTTGCGCACAATCGCTTCCACGCCGTCGCCCACCCTTTTGGCCCCACCCCCTCCCTCCCGATACGTTCCATTCATTGGCTACCACATTCTGATGAGCTCCCCCCCCCTCTCCTCCCCCCTCAACTCGCTTTTAAGGGATTACATCTTGAATCATTGCCTCACTTGATGCAGCTAATCTGGCTGTGACGGTCCCACCTGATGACGGAGACTTGTGTTGCCTCCGAAACGTCGTGATCTTTATTTTATTTTTATTAATTTTGATGTTTTACCTACGTGACTTTACCGAAAAAACCTAAGAATATGGATTGCCTGTTGACACCGGTTCGTGTTTCACAACCTTAGTTTCTGGATAAGTACGCAGACAATAGATCTGCTTCGCGTGCCTACCCCTTTAAAGACGGCCTTTGGGAGTGCACCATTTCAGTCCGCATTAGTGCAGTGCAAGCAAAACTTGGGACCGGTTTCCACATGCGGGGTCTCATCAGGCTTGCGTGAACAGGCGCCAGATGTTACGGGCAAGGTCAAGTTCACGTTGTTTAACGAGACCAGGATAGAGGAGGTTCCATTTATCTTTTTATTTATATAGCGCCTTTATCCAAAGTGCATTACAAGGGCTATGAGTGGTACAATGAGGGTAGTTAAAGGTGATACGGTGAATAGGGATGGGGTATGGGGAGGGAGGTTAGTGGCTATGGGAATTACGGTGGGTACCTCGGGATGGGGGCAGTGCCGGATTAAGCTAGTGCAGGGCCTGTAGCATATGCTATACTGGTAGGAACCTCCTGGTTACACCAGCCCACAGGGGATTATTGTGTCCGTCCGTCCGTCGTGCATCCAAAAATGGGAGGGGTGGGGCTAGGTGGAGGGTGGGGAGGGGCTGGTTGGGGAGGGGAGGGTGGGGAGGGGCTGGGTGGGGAGGGTGGGTGGGGGGTGGGGCTGCGTGGGGAGGGGCTGGGTGGAGAGGGGAGGGTGGGTGGGAGGGGTGGGGAGGGGCTGTGTGGAGAGAGTGAGGCTGGGTGGGGAGGGGCTGGTCACCCCGTGGTGCCCTTATAAAACTCAACGTTTAACCTACTCACGCCGGCTTGTGCCCGCCCTCACAGTCGGCCATATTTGCGGAATACACCACGCCGCCGTTGACCCTGGCCATTGACCGAGCAACCCAACGTTCCTACCAGCTCCCTCCGCAGGAATGTGTTAAAGGGGCATTAAAAATATAAAAAAAATATTAAAACACATTTTTTACTTGCACAGTAAAGTAATTGTATTTTTTCATTTGCTATACAGCCAGATAATACGACAAATCTCTAACCTTAAACACCCGGTCGTTCATACAAGTTGAAGGCGGTATAGTACTATAGTAATAGAGCAAGTGCAGAATCACTGAACCGGAATTGATAGCTTGAAAGCATTTAGCGCGGGGGCACTTGAAAGTGCGGGGCCCGTAGCTACTACATGTGTAGCTGCTTGTGCTACTCGGGGGCCGTCCATAAATGACGTCACGCACCTAGGGGGGGGGGGTCAGACATTTATGACGATGTGTGACGAGGGGGGTTGAGAAATATGACGTCACATCAAAATGCGCAACTTTAAATAATGATAGACAACACGTTCTACTTAATTAAATCGACTTTTTAATAAATGTTTACTCCTACAGCATCAGAGTGCAGCGCCATTTTCAAATACGCACTACAATGACAATAGTTTAAAGCGATTTGAATCATGTTTTATATTTTTTTGGGGGGGGGGGGGCAGAGCTTTGTGACGTCATATTTGACGGGGGCTCTGACTTTTTGTGACGTCGTGTGACGAAGGGGGGGGGGGGGGGTCAAAAATCGTCCAAAATCGCGTGACGTCATTTATGGACGGCCCCCGGGTAATCCGCCACTGGATGGAGGAGGGAAGGATGGGCCAGGGAGACGCGGAAACTGGACAGGTAGGGTGCTCGTTGCTTGACGTGGAGGGGAAGTTCG